ACCAGCAGGCAGTAACAGAGTGCCTCAGGAGTGGCAGGGCTGGGTGGGTGGGGAATATTCAAACGAAAGAGACAGAAGAGCCTTGATCAAACTGTAACACAGGATGATGGCTTAGGGGCCGTGGATAAAAGCCCAATGATTGCCTAGCTGCCAAGAAGCAGCAGCAGATTTCCAGGAAGGGGGCTGAGCAGAGGCTTTGGGATGGAGTGGCACCTGGGCTGGGCCTAGAAGGGTAACAAAGATTCCCGTGGGCAGAGGGAAGGGGGAAGGGCATTCTGACTGAGGTGGCAAAGTGAGCCAGGCTGAGCAGCAGGACGGGGCCACGTCACAGAGGGCCCTGCGCTTGGGCTGCATTCTGGGAGCAGGAGGAGCCACGGAGGGTCTTGGAGGAGGGAGTCAGGATCAGCATGTGCAGGACGAGCCCAAGCTGCAGAGCCGGGGTGGGCAGGGAGACTCCTCAGAAGGCGAGGAGGTGACAGAGGTCGGAGTCAGGGGCAGTAAAGGGATGGGTGCCAGAGATAAGAGACAAAACTGACTCGATTCAGCACAGGGTGACTGTGGGCCTAAACCAGCATGACAGCGGGGACAGCCCTCTCTGAGGCTGGGCGGCAGGAGTGTGGGAGAAATGGTGCGTCTGCTTGGGGATGGCTGCATGGAGGTGCCTGGGGCACACCCAGGAGCCACACCCCGTAGGTAAATGACAGTCCGGAGTTCAGGAAGAGGCCTTCCCAGCTGGCAGCCTTCTCTGTCCTCGCCTTCTCTGTGCTCCGGTCCCATCCTCATCTCTGCTGGTGGCACCCGGGGGGAGGGGAGGAAGTCCCCTTGGGCATGCTGTGCCCAGGTGAGCAGACATGACAGCCAGGCTCTCCTCTCTGGGCTGGGGCTCCCGCTCCTTGGAGATCTAGAATCCACAGAGCCGGCATGGACCCCCACCTCCCGAGATCCACACTTTCAAACACAATCACCGGATCCCAATGCAGGTTCACAGGTTCCACCCGCAGACTCTCTGCTTTGACAGGTCGGGTGGGGCTCAGGAAGTGAATGTTTTAAGATGCAACCAAGACTGTGACACCGGGAACAGCCTGCTGACCTGCTCGGAAAGCCCTGCTCCCAGCAGATGCTCGGTCAGACCCTCCTGCAGCTGCAGCCCCTGGCTCTGCTGAGAAAGTAGAGGGCAAGTGGGGGTGTCGACAGGGAGGGGAGGTTGCTGGCACCTAAAATGAGATGGGTAATACCAACATCACATCTGAGTGCTCACTACTACGGCCGGGTGCTGCTGTGAGGCCTCCAAGTCAGTATTTGAAACAACTTTCCCCATTTTGCAGTTGAGGAAATTGAAGCTTAAAGTCAAGTCATCCAGCAGGTGGTGGTGTGTACTCCATACCTGTCACCTAAGGCACAGGGTGTGTTGGCAAGCTACGCCCTTCCCTCTGGCCTCAGTCTCCCCCTCTTTAAAATGCAGAGAACTTTCCCCACCTGCTTCCAGGAGACTCTGGGGTCTTAATGATGATGATCGTAAGACCGCTGGAAAGCCAGCAGCGTTTTCCCCAAGCAGCACCCGTGCCACCTCTGGGACCCTTCAGCCAGTCTGGATGCTGCCTGCAGGGCACGTCTGGACCTCTGCCATCACTGGATGGAAAGGGCAAAGGGCGTTCCTTCTGCCCTGTGCTGAGTGCCGCAGACAAAGGTCTCACTATGCAAGTCTCAATAGAAGGCTTTGTTTGGCGGCAATAATATTATTTTCTGCTGCTGACGCGTCACCTCCATTTTTAAACTGGGAATATTCGGCTGCATTCTCCTCTGGGGGGCGTGCCATGTCAGAGAGAAATGACACCCCCAGACCCTCTGACCTGGGAAACACATGGAAGGGGGCAGGTGACATGGCTTGGAGAAAGCCAGAAAGATGGGAAGAAGAGGTGCAGGCTTCATTGTACCAAACTGCTTACTTCAATGGCTTATCTCTGCAAGTTTGCACTTGAATCTCTAAGCATTTCTTTCTGGCCTCGGTAGTGAGGAAGAGGTGCAGGCTTCGTTGTACCAAACTGCTTACTTCAATGGCTTGTCTCTGCAAGTTTGCATTGAATCTCTAAGCATTTCTTTCTGGCCTCGGTAGTGATTAAAGAAGCTCTGAGCTCACCAAAGGAGCAGATCGTGGATGCCGATGAAGCCACCTTAAGCTAGTTCTGTGCAAGGCTCCTTCTCTGGAAAGCATGCCCGGGCCACGCAGTCGCTTGAAGCAATGCAGAAAGTATGACCAGCCAGCAGGAAAAAATCCCGGTTTCCTCATCGGTATGATTACCGCTTATCTCCTGAGGGAAGGATGGGCAGGCTAGTGGAAATTCTATGGAGATCAGTAACCACGGTGGTTATCTGTAAGCGTAGCTAACATTTTTCTCTGGATGTAAAAGCAGTGGAGTTTGGGGTGGGACAACTGACCACATCCTTGCCACTTCTGATGACTTTTATTCTTTGGCGTTTGCTCACTAAATCCCCCTACTCTTTAATGCCTCCCACACCTGCATTAAAATGTGATCACATTCTGCCCAACTGAGCAGGGCAGGCAGTCTGACTGCTCATTGCTCCTTCATTCCAATCTGCCATTAGACCATCTGCTGACTATTCCGGGTCCCTGGGCCAGGTGCTAGGCTCATGAGGATGTCCCTTGTCCCTGCACAGAAGCAACCACCTGAAATGAAGGAAGAGAAGCCCACAGCCACTGAGAAAGAAGGCCCAAGAGAGAAGGCAGGGCGTTGGCAAGAAGGGATATGCCTACCTGGTGAAGGTGGCAGGAAAGGGAAGGCACAAAAAGGACAAGAAGCAGGAGAGGGGCCAAGAATGGGCCCAGAGTGAGGAGTGCAGAAGCACATTCAGGAATGACTGATGGGGTCTTTCAAGGATGTCTGAGAAAAAAACAGAATTTTCTGTATCTATTGAACAAAATGCAGGTTATTAGAGGAAAACTGTCTCTGAGCTCCAAGGCAGGAGCCGGAAAGTACCCCAGGGCCATCTAGTGCACACCCTTCACTGTGCCAATGAGCAGCTAAAGCCCAGAGAACTGAGGCGACATGCCAAGGTCACACAGCAAGTTAGTGTTAGAGAGACCAAAACTGGGGACACTTCCGCCACGGAGGGCTCTGGCCCAGCAATTCCTCCAGGGGCCGGCGTCACTGGCCACTCCCTCAGGAAGGACTTATTAACACTTGGTGACCAATGCTGGGACCTACAGGGACCCCATATGAATCCACACCAGAGGCAGGCTATAACCTTGACCTGACCTTGCAGGCTGACAGCAAGCTTTTCCAAGCTCCAAGTGTGGCTCCCCAGCAGGCCTTGGAGGAGGGACAGAAATGCCCAGTAGTGCCAAGTGCATCCTGACAGATACAGCTGACAAAACAGCAGGCTTTCTCACGAGGCCAGAGTCCCAAGGCGTGCGGGGAGGGCCCCCTTGAGAATGTGCCCGCTAGGTTAGGTGATGTGTGCAAGCAAGAAAGAAATATGAGCCCTAGCTGGTTTGGTTCAGTGGATAGAGCGTCAGCCTGTGGATTGAAGGGCCTGGGTTCGATTCCGGCCAAGGGCATATGCCCGGGTTGTGGGCTTGATCCACATTAGGGGGCGTGCAGGAGGCAGCCGATCAGTGATTCTCTCTCATCATTGATGTTTCTATCTCTCTCCCTCTCCCTTCCTCTCTGAAATAAATAAAAAATATTTTAAAAGAAAGAAAGACGAAGGCCTAAGCTTGGAGGCTCTTTCTGGGCAGTGATGAGAAAGCTGAAACAGGAGAGTGGTCTCTGACCCTTCAGACACACGGAAGACCAGGACAGAGAGAATGCGAGGAGGTGAGTATGTGATTTAAAATGTAGGGGAGCTCAGACTAGGAGGGCAAGGCAGGGTGACGTAGATGGTAGGATAGAAAAGAGGAAGCTTCAAGACAGACCCTGAAGCCACAGGTAAAGAGACCATCATTCTGAAAAATAACCAGTTAAGACAGGTTTTCCTAAAGTATACATAGCTAAGTCTTCTGTTAGCTTCTCGGACAGATTGTATGTTGACTTTCACTCTTGGATAAAATCTTTCCTTTTTTTTTTAATATGTGTCTGCTGGCCACTGTGCAGTTTGCCTATCTCCTCAAAAACAAAATATTTGTCAAAGGGGCAATCAGTAGGCATGCTGAAAACTGACCATTCGTAAGTAAACTCCTAACGTGAGTGCTATGACCCCAGAAACAGACTTTAGATTTGGCGGAATGAAAAGCATAAACCCTTCAGAGCAAAACATGAAGGGTACCCGGCTACTGGTGGGCACAGTTTTCTTCCCAGATCAGACGAGACTGGGTGTGTTCAGGGTGGTATGGCTGTAGACTATAGTTTTCTTATCTAAATGACAAGTAATATTATGTGTGGGTCTCAACAATAAAGAATTTTTTTAAAATATATTATCTGTGGGTCCTTCTCCAAGAAGGACTGCTCAATTCTATTCATGTCAAATCCGGGCCGGGAAGAACTGCCCCCGTCTGATTTTCTCATCAGTGGACAAGAGATTCCTGGTTCAACATGTGCTGCACCCCTCCTCATTTCGAGAAGATGCACCCTCAAGAATTCTTTAAAAATCAGAATCAAATACTTATGAGCAAAAGCTCAAAATTGGTAGCTTTGAGGATTACTCTGAATGCTGTGTTTTCACAGTAACCACAATCAAATCACATTTGCAATTTAACTTTTGTCTGAAAGTTCTCAGGCAGAGAAAGCAAGAAGCCACTCCTTTTATCCTACCACAATTCTCTAGATCCGTATTCTCAAGTTCCACTGGAGAAGTTAGAGTTGGACAGAAAACGCGAGTAAGAAAACAACTGCCTGGCCACCCGCACCCCCACTCCCTTCTGTGGCAGATCAAGCCACTGCTCAGTTCAGCAACTTCTAAAAGAAAAAAGGCAAACAACACAGACTCATTTTCCCGTGGTAAAGGTTCCCGAGTGTGAAGATTATTATTGTAAGCTGTCTTACTGATCATGGTGGTCCCACCAGCCAGAGCTGCCTTGGTGCCTTGAAAGAAGTCATCAGCAGAAGTCATTCCCTGGTCAGGCATCTGGAAGCGGGTATGGACGTCGATCCCTCCGGGAATCACCATCCTGGAATGGGCCTCGATGGTCTTGACCCCTCCTGGCACAATCAGGTTTTCTCCTATTTGCCTACATTAATAGGGTGGTGACAATGGTGGTAAATGAAATGTCCCTGAATCCAATGAAATCTGACAGACATTTTCACCAAGCCCTACCCTATCCTTCCTGTGTTCACTAGACTTTTCCAGTTACTGTAATTATTCATAATATATGTGCACTCCCCACTCCCTACCACCAACTAAGAAGCAATGCAGCGCTTACTAGAAAACAAAAGTTAAATAAGGCACCAGAGGCCTAATCAAAGAGTCTTAGTTACCAGAAAACCCCTAAAATCAAATGATAACAAGTTCCCAAGGAATTTACATAAAATGACACTGCACTTTCTCAATAAACACACAGTTGAGCTAATTATCTTATAGCAATCTCCTCCAGATCTGTTGGCACTTTACAAACATGTATTTTCACCAAATCCTTTGCAATATAGAGAAAATAGGGGAGAAGCAAAAAATAAATAAATAAATAAGTGAACACTATGATTAAAACAATTTGAAAATGTGGAAGCATGTCATTAGCAACTCAGATAAGGCAGAAAAATTAATATTCATTATGTTGAAGGATATGAATTCATTTCTAATGTTTAAAAAAATATCTCTGCTTCATCTTTCTAACAGTTTTTTTTTAAAGGAAAAAAGTAATCAAGGAGAAGTTGCTAAAGTTCAAAATCAAATTAGTGATGACTAAAAATAGCCCCCAGGCTTGCTCACTTCTAGGCCAGTGTCTTTCTGCTAGATTCTAACTGGGGGAATGGGACAGGCAAGTCATGGTATGTGAGAGCCTGGAGTAGAGACTGTCATAAGCAAACACACATGGAGAAAACATTAAATGTGGAAATGGTAGGACCTATTTTAGGTCATAAATCAGGGTTTGAGTTTCTAGGCAACAGATACATCCACTCCAGTTTTCCACTCCTCAGCAATGGTTTGCCGTAGCACTTGATGAATGCTGCTTATTCAAAAGATGTCATTTGCAGCAATGTTTGTCTTTAAACAGATGTGCTATTTCTCTGGAGCCTTATGAGCTGTCCCAGTCGGAAGGGCACAAGGATACTGGTATGTACTCAGCTCACTTAACCCTCTAGAATCCAAAAATACCCTGATGCAATAACTGCTCTGTTGTTAGAAACACAATACACAAGCAACACAAGGGCAGTCTTACTGGTGTTTGTTGGCACTTAAAGAATGAAACCTAAAATTCCCTTGGGATGAGGCAGCAATTTGTCTATGTTACTTAATTTGTTTTCCTTTGGCCCAACCACTGGATTCTTGATTCAGAAAGCAGATGTGCTATCTTGATAGAAAAGGGTATACTCACATTTGTGTCCTTCCATTGGGCAAGACATGCAAACAACTACATTCTAGGAAAACCTTTAATATATGCAATAGATCCTAAACCAAGTATTTGAGCTGGCAACAAGAAGAAATTGTGTCACCTGGGTTAAAAATAGCAAGTTACATAATGCGTTAGGAAATGGGTATGCATTTAATTGTAGCTTTGAATTCCCTAAATCTGAGTTTTCAAATTCACTAATTACTACCAATCAAAATGGGCTTAAATAGATACTAAGTCACTCTTTGAAGTCACTAAAGCTTGATATTATGTGTGTGAATTGTAGGTGATGCTTGGGAATACTGGAAGGTACACGAATTCTTCTATATGAGTTACACTTACTTGATCAACCCATCTTCCATGTATATGTCTGCATAGAATGACTGGTCATCATTAACGATTTTACCTCCTTTGATCAGAAGACGATCACTCTGAAACAAAGACATACTAAGGTCACCATGTGTACCTGGCCCATGAGGAACATTGGTTCTAAAATAAGTGAGCTAAGGACACATTTCACTATTCAAAGTGATGCTCAGCCCAGCCGGCATGGCTCATGTGGAGCATCAACCTGTGAATTAGGAGGTCACAGTGTGATTCCCAGTCAGGGCACATGCCCGGGATGTGGGCTGGGTTTCCAGTGGGGGCATGCAGGAGGCAACCGATCAATGATTTTCTCATCATTGATGTTTCAATATCTCTCTCCCTCTCTCTTCCTCTCTGAAATCAATAAAAATATATTTAATGCTCAAAATGAGCCAATTTTGAAAAGGTTCAGTGACAATGGTGAACCTGTATGTAGGAACCTATTTGACACATGATGAGTAGAAATATGCTGGTAAAGCTCAAAGCTTATCATAGATTTAAAAACAAACAAAAAACCTTCTTTCCAGAAGACAATACTTTTTAATGGCTTTAAGCTAAACTTCATTAAAAAAAAACAAAAAAAAAAAAACACCCACATGTAGGGAAGTCAATTCTTGGCAAGCTTTGTGTGGGGAAAAATTAACCAAAAGTCTGTTGTCATGGCAAACTCGACACAAACACACTAGGTTCCACCATAACAAGGTTTCAATTCAGCCTGTTCATTATATTTGCATTTCATTTTGAGGTAAATCACAGCAATTGTAGCAAAGAGAGAAAAAAACCTCTTCAATTATACAGCATTTTAACTATTAAACTGTTAAGGAAAAGGTAAAGTTTTATGATAAAGTAGATAAGAGGGAAAGTTCTAAATCTAACACCACTATAAACTGTCAATTCACTTATAATATAATTAGTGTAAAAAATACATATGACAAGCAGCACATGAGGGCCAAGAATATAATGAAAACGTTACTTTATGACTCATCTCTATTCCAAAGGCTTTGATGGAATGGAACGTTAAAATCAGTGGATATACACCTGTGCTATTCCACACTGGGTTGAAATGTTACAAGTTAAAGCATAGATTGCCCTCTTAACATGCAAAATATTTCAAAGGAATGGCATTCATCTTGACAATCGTTAACTCTAAGTTGCTACAAAACAACATTCTCAGCAAGTGCTATTTATGTTTAGCACCTGCCAAAGAAAATATTATAGCAAATGTGTAGTGAAGAACACATAAACTATAAGACCCAGAAAGATCCTTTTACACAAAAATGTACACATGGGTTTACAAAGTATTTATTGTTTCTCTAACATACTGAAAAACAGATCATTAAATTTTGTACACTTCAGTCTGTTGTAGACTTTGGAAAGTCATATGAGACTAAATAATCAACAACAATTCCTACACTTGTATAAGTTAAATGTAAGAACCTTCACAAAATCCAGTGAGGTGGATGGAGTAGATTCTTAACCCATGACACAGAAAGAAACTGAGGCACAGAGAGGTTAAGTCACTTGCCCAAGGTCACCTGATCCAGTACACTTTCCTCTGGCTACTCAGAACTCCCCCGCAGGATCCCACTTTGACAGGATAAATATTGCCTGGGAGCAAAGAGAAGCCCTGCCCTTCACCACCTGCTCCCTCATTCGCTGTGGTACCTGTCCCAGCCATCACTGTGAATCCCAGAGCCAACACAGAGAGAGAGAGAGAGAGAGAGAGAGAGAGAGAGAGAGAGAGAGAAGCCCTGTTCACTCTGTGCCTTCCAGAAGGCTTCTTACATAAGAGGCAGCTGTGATGATGGAAGGAGGGAGACCATGCTATGTAGGTCCTCCATAGTGCACCCAGATTTTAAGGGTAGAGGGGGCGCTCTTTTAAAAGTCAGTCTTGTTTGCTTTTTAATTTTTTTCCTCCCCACACTGTCAAAACGAAACTGCCTTTTTCATTCAGGAAGACAGCGATTTATTTGAGATTTGCAGCAAATGTGCTCTCCACCCCCACTCTCCAGACTTCTTCCTCCTAACGGAGAATATCGAACATCGGGTCCCCCTCGCCCGGCCCTTTGGAATCCTGGGTCTCTGGCCTTTTAGAAAAAGCTACTACCCACCCTCGCCCTTGAGCAGCCTTGCTCATCCTATAAAATCCTCTCCAGCACACACCCCGCCCCGTGCTTTGGTCTCCACATCTCTCTCCTGCGGATGGGTGTGTCCTTGTGCATCCACAGGAGGCCGGGGTGCCCGTGGCTAAGGAGGGGACCAGAGGCAAGCGCGCCCTCAGATCCAGCCCTGAACACATCTACACTTTTCAAGGAGTCTCTCGGTCTCTGCCTCGGCCCTGGGTTCTACCCAGCAATCGGTTGGCCAATTGCAATTGCACATCATTATATAACAATGAATACCCCTCGCGTTCCAGCCGCCCTCCCCAGCGTTTCATTGGGGATGTGGATAGAGAACTAAGACTAGCGAATTTTTTCCAGGAAAAGCTGGGGAGAGGATGGGCGCGGTGGGAGTAAGAACCTGTGTTCATCGCTGAAGCATCGCCAGTTCATCGCGTAGATGTTTTTCTCGTGATTTACAAACTAAGCACCCCAAGCCCCACAAGTGCGCCAACACCTCCGGCCAACGGGACCATTGTCTGCCGAGGCCCGGCCGGGCCATCTGCTCCGCGCGTCGCGCAGCGCCATTACCTCCCGAGCCGGGCTCGGCGCTGTCCCCGGCGCCCACCCTCCCAGCCCGCTTTGTATGCGCCAGCACGGACGCCTCCTGGCCGCAGAAGGGACAGAGGTAGAAGAAAGCCAGCCCCGAACCAGAGGGCGAGAAAGCCAAGAGGGCCACCAACACCGGCCCCTGGTCAACAAAAAGCCCACTCCTGGCCCCCACCCTTCTCTGTTCATCACCGCGTCCCTTTTTTCCTTCCCGTTTCCACATCAGCCTGGTGCACCCTGCCCTTGCAGCATCTCTCTGCTGTCAGTCCGCCGCCAGGCTGAAACCTGCCCCTTTTTCTCGGGAGCCGGAGGAAGGCTCCAGAAAGCCCTTTATGGCGGGGGCGGGAGGCACAGGGAGGTCCATCCACTTCCCATTCCCCCGTCCAGCTCCTAGAGCCCAGCTCGCAGCACGCAGCCGGAGAACAATATCCGCGCTCCAACCACGCATATTCAATCTGGCATCCATTTGCTTACACCCCCAGGCCGGCACTGCAGCATCTCGCTCTGACAATAAAAGGATACAGCGGCTCTGGCGCGCTACCCAGGACGACCTCAATGCACTCACGCTATTTTAATGTCTTACAAATCATGTGGCTCATAATTCTATGATTGCGTCTCCTGCCACCACGATCGCCTTCTTTAGTAACGGGGGCGGGGGGGGGGGGCAGTTAGGTCCCTCTTCCTCCCCCTCCTTAAAAAAAATTCCTTAGATGTTCTGTGCCACAAAGGTTACTGGCCGACCACAATTTCCCAAGTGCCAAACTCACCGTGATGCGTGGAATATTTTTCTTCCCCTGATAAGACATCTCTCTCCTGGGAAAAAAATAATTTCAAGAGGGCAGCTTTAAAACAAAAAAAAATGCCAAAAAAGAGAGTTGGTATTTTATTTTTTTCAGGATTGAAAAAGGTGCAACAGCTTAGCTAGTCTTGCTGATAACAAATTCCAGGAACGTAAGAGATCAACGCAATCCTCTGTCTCTCTTTCTTCCTCTCCTCCAACACAGCCCCAGCGAGGGCGGAAAAAAAAAGAAAGAGAGGGAGAGAACAGGAGGGAAGGGGGTGGAAATAAACTACAGCAATAAAAGCCTCGGTTCGAGTCGGCCACCCGGCGCATGCGCCGCCAGCCACTCCCTTTCCTCTCAGGCAAAAGCCATCCGCTTCGGGAGAGACGAGCCCTGATTGGCCACAATCGCGGGACATGCAAATGCCCGGGCGGGAGGGGAGCGGCGCGAGAGCGCGAAATGCTGCAGAGAGCGGCGGAGGGCGGCGG